AGCAATTCAAGGCGGCAAACATAACCATCACACCTTCCTTCTCCTGTGTCCCAAAGGTGGTTTTCAAAAGGCAACTGGATTTTCTTGGTGTCCCCACCCCCCCCCCGAAAACAGTTTCTAGCGAGAACTGAAAAAGCTTCTTGAGTGAGAAGTGAAACATTTTTTTTTGGGGGGGGGGGGGAACCCTAATAAAGTTCAGTTGCTTTTGAAAAACACCTTTGAGACAATCATGATTTAGATGATTGAGAATCTCCACAGACTTTATTCTCGTATTTTCTCCCACAACAATATCCCTGTGAGCTGGGTTGGGCTGAGAGAGGGTGACTGGCCTAAAATATTCCAGCTGGCTTTCATGATTAAGGTGGGACTTGAACTCATGGTCTCCTGGTTTCTAAACTAGTGCCTTAACCCCTAGACCAATCTGGTTCATATGCAAGTTATGAGTTATTCTGAACTCAAAAAACCAAAATGCATTTTCCCTACTTGCTCCCAAGAACTCTGAGTACAGTGAAGATCTGCAGCCAATTATGAATCATCACATGATGTTAGATGATTCTAGCTGCACTTCTTTAAGGTTGCAGATAATTTAGTTACAGCTTTGCAAGATGTTTGACAAACAGTTACATGTCATTGATGCCTTCGAGCAGTGAGATGATACTTCCTGCTTTGCTTTCAGAGCTTTCATGTGGCATATTATTTCCTTAATATTAACGGACAGTCACTGGGGATGCACAAATTAATATTTTTCCATATCATAATATTTAACTCTCATTTATTATGGGTACTTTGTCTATATATTAGTCAAATGCTATTTTCTTACTTTCAGCCATAGTATATTTGTGCTTTTACTAGCATAACCTCTCCCCAATTTTTATTTAAATATAATTAGCCAGTCCCTTTTGGATAGTTGCTCTTTTAACCACTCATATTGATTTCTTCAGAATTATATCCACTTTGTGCTAAGCTCTGTAGCTTTTCCTAAGCTTCAAAAGTTTTGATAGCTGTCTCAAATAAGGTTTCGGTGACAACAAAGATTATTCCAACTCAAACCCAAAGTAGAAAGTTGCATTTTAAAATTCATCTGGATAAACAAATCCAGAAGAAGGTGCTGTATCACCACAATGCCAGGGAATTTGCAATCCTAATGGAGTGGGAGGGTATGCAGATTGAATTGAATTTATTTCTAAATTCCAGATTAGTGCTTAGTCATTGCTTAAACATTTAAACAAATGAATCATCCACATATTTCTTCTTCTTTGCAATAACGTTCAACTTGTACAAGATTTAGCACTGACCAATAGCCTTGCTGGCAATCTTAATGAAAACTGACGGACTGTGGGTTTCAACAGAAGAATAACAGTTTGTTTTCCATTTCAGATAACTTTTCATGCAAATCCATTCAGTTTCAAAACCAAGATGTGAACCAGAACTAAGAGGATGAAATCTTGGAGAAAACATACACCCCCCCCCCCGGCCAAGTGTAGCTGATTTCTTTGCCCTTCCGTTCTTTGAAAGCAGCTGCCTTGGTGACAAAATATCTCCATCTGGCAGTGTGAATAAGCAGATCCACCAAGAACCGTCAGAAACGGAACTGAATCAACATTGGGGAGATTTAAAGAAATGCATTCAAGTTTTCATTTCAGGATAGAAATAATGTTAATGTTAATGAAACATATTCTAAGAAAGCAAGGCCTGGTATCAAAGATGACATTTTCATGGTACTTACAGAATCTTGCCAAAGACTTGTTCTGGGGTTGCAGTTAAAAAACAAACCTGGTTAATTAATTATCTTATTAGTTTGTCTGCCTGGTAGAAAAAGAGCTATCAGTCAGGCTGAGGCTTGCAAACAAATCTCTCTTACTCTGCTGTTAGTAGAGAACGCTGCCTGCAGAGATGCAGCAGACAGCATAAAGACACCATAACGACTCTTCTAGCACTAATCAAAGAACAACATATCATGTCTGGGAAAAGGTGTTTCAGATCTAGGGACTCAATTAAATGGTCTTTTTGCTGTATTCTAAGTTGAATGATTCTGTTGTTAACAAATCCAAGTGCACTGATTATTAATATGTTAAATAAAGGCAGCAGCACTGCTTAAATATTCTGAAAAGCCAGCAATAACAGACTTTTAAAACTGTTTTACCTATACTGCTGCCCAGTGAATCCAAACCTGCACAACATCTATAAAAACTGCAAGGTGATGTCATCATTTTTTCAAGTGGGCAGAGCACAAAAGAAAATGACCTGATTCTTGGATTTTCTTAGAATCAATTACTTACTTGAATGCAGGTTCCAGTACACTCCTTGCAAAGACTGCACGACAGAGCCCATCTGCTTGCTGGGATATGTGAAATTTTTGTAATTGGTTCCATTTTTTCAGGGCATCCAATGCTAACCTGAGAATAAGACAAAGCATCCAATCAGCTTCTATATATTGTCTTGAAGAACAATGAATAGATTCTCCCTTAAGATGAATTGATTTGATTTGATTTGATTTCATTTATATGCCGCCCTTTTCCCCAAGGGGACTCAGGGCGGCTCACAATTCAAATCAGGGAAGTGGGGTACAGACAGAAAATAAAAAGACAAAACATAGCAATACATAATTTAAAAACACACAACAGTCATACCATTCGAGACAGGGGGCAACAGCTCTTTAGCCCCAGGCCTGTCGGAACAGCCAGGTTTTAAGGGCTTTGCGGAAGGCCTGGAGGGTGGTGAGGGTTCGAATCTCGTTCCAGAGGGTCGGAGCAGCCACAGAGAAGGCTCTCCTCCGGGTAGCCAGTCGGCATTGGCCGGCGAATGGAATTCGGAGGAGGCCTAATCTGTGGGATCTAATCGGTCTATTGGAGGTAATTGGCATAATATCATAAAAGACATATATGACACAAATCTCTGGGGATACTCATAGCCCATAGCACGATAACAATTATTTGGAATGTCCGAACTGATAACCAGTTATTTGCTTAACTATAATAATGCTCCAAATTCTAGATTTGCTTAAATAATTTCATGCAATGGTATGAATGGTTTGTGGAAGATGTATCACGCATGATCTAATTGAAGCCAATTTCATCCACACTCCATTCATTCTGTTTAGGCAGAAATCACTAGGTCTCGTACTTCAGGAATCCATAAGGCACAGCTAACGTGAACCCATTTTGTTCCACTCCGGGTAGGTTTCAGGGCTCCCCCTCTCTTTGGGCAGAGTAAACACTTTGGCTGAACTCCCAGGGCGCAGGTCCGACAGAGCCAGTTTCCAAGGGGAACTTTTAGGATTCCATAGCAAGCCTAAAAAGAAATATAAGGACCAAGATTAGTTACTTATGTGATGAGCGCATATCAAGATTAATATATCTTATGATAAAGTACTATGATGCACCTTATGAATAAAATAACCTTATTAGTTTACAAATATTAAGTGTATGTGATTCCCTGTTCCCACCTACCATTAATACTGGTATAATGTAATATTCCTCCCAAAAAATCTGATTAGGCAATTTTCTGAATGAACGAATGAGAATTGAAAGAGAGTGAGAGGAGGGGCAACACATTAACACATTATTCTTGCCCCTAAATTTCCATGACTGCCTGACCTCATTGCCTTAATCTTGAACTTTTGATCTGGACTTTTCAACTGCACAAGAAAATTTTTTATTTACCATCTTAATAGCAATGATATTTTTTGTTACCTTTTTTCCTATCAAATTCAGTACAAAACATTTTTCAAAGCTGTTTTCCATAGTCACAACAGAGACCTATTTTGTTAAGTAAAGGTTATTCAATTTTCTGGCTAAGTTTACAGATCATGAAATGGTGAGATTGATTTTGACTTCATGTTATAATAGCTTGTGCAACAAGTTGTTAAAACAGATAATGGCTTAGTGCAATATATGTACTGAATGATAATAAAGAAACATAAATGAGTAGCTAAAGAGATACCAGATCCAGCAATTTGTGAATTAAAAAAAAGGGGGAGGGGGAAGACATTTAAAAAAAAGGAGAAATAGGGAACCTAGTCTTGTGGTCTTCCATTTCAGGAGCTACTGTGTTTCCAACATAAGAATTCCAGGACATCGTTGGCATCCCTGAATTTAACACACTTAGTCCCTTAATATCACAACAAGCAGTGATGTATTAATCATTAAGCAGACTAAGCACGTGCTTAGGGCACCAGGCCCAAAGAGGGCACCACAAAGTTGAGAAAGAAAAAAAACAATGAAGATTTGTACAGTATGTACAAATGAGGGGGCACAAGATGTGTCAGTGCTTAGGGCACCAATGAACCTTAATCCGCCACTGATGACAAGCAGTAAACTGGCCATAATTAACAACAAAAATATCATAAATATGCATCCAAAGATACCACTGAATGGTTAAGAAATGTAAAAGGCATCATCATCTGCTGTTGTTGATAAACAACACAAGTTGAATGTCTCCTATTCTCCCTTTAGGCAACTCCTAAGGTTGCCCAGAGCAGAGACTGGCTGTGGCAATCTCCAGAACGCTGCCTCTTCAATGTAGTTGTTGGTAGGATTTTTGCAGATATGGTAGTTCTAGGCACCTGCAAATACCCTAGACTTCCCAGAGATAAAAATGTAGGATAAATTGGTTCAGTCTTGAGAATGCTACGGGACATAGCACCTAGAACCTAAGAATGCTCTTTAAACATCATTGTTCTGGGCCTGGGTCAGTTTTCCTAACGTAAGGTACTCTTCCGATTCTATGAGTCAATGAATTTGAGGGAATTGTCCTTACTATCCAATCAGAGAGAGAACTGCTACTCACCTGATGCACACAGACGTTGCATTTGTCGCAGAAAACCATCTCATTGCCATCTTCTCCTTCTGGTGAACGGCACACATCGCATACCACATCCTCATCATACTCTATCCCAAGGCCTTCTTCCGTCTCAATGGCAATGTTCATATTCTCATAGCACACAGTCTCCAGTTCCTCAAGCACTCTTTCCAAGGTGAATTCATCAATTTCTGGCTTTTCTTAAAGAGAAAAGGCAGCAACACTTTATTTACTTTCTATGAAGAGTCTCAAACTCTGTTGTGATAGATATTTGTTGACCACTAGGAGTCAAGAGAAGAGAAATCCCGCTATTAGCATCAGTTTTCTAATAAACTGAGCATCAACTGTTTATACTTCTCTTCAATTTTAATTGAAATAAAGATATATGCAACACAAATAGAGCAAGGAATCTCAGAAAGAAAATCCATGAATGATGATCTGAAGCTTAGCTGCTACAAATGAGGAGCACATACCCCTTACAGGTTCAACACTGTGCCTGAGCCAATATTAAGCACAGACAGGTAAGTAAGAGAACATTATATTCAGGTTTTCCTGGTCTCATAAGAACTATGGTGGCAGCATATTCTCTCCACTGAGCCAAAATATAATTTCTACAGTGGTGTTAAATAAACCCAGTGGCCGTGGTGCATGCTATAAATCAAGGTTTATGGCTTGGCAGATTGTGGAAATCAACCAATGGCCTTTCTTCTGCAAAATATGGTTCACAAACTATGGTTCAGTTTGACATTTGAGCATAATAAAATATGCCCACTAAAATTGGGTATCAGAAGTTCTTAAAAAGAAGCTTTTTCTTCTAAGTTAACTTCAATTTCAGCAGAATGCTCATTTTTTTGCCAATCCTATCTTGTGGCTTATTCCCATTAAATCAGACTTATAAGTAACTAAAGCCAGACATTTGATTGCGGAAGTGCCTAATTCACATCGGGAATCATGGGTCTGGTATTATATCAAATCAGCCATCTTTGTAGAAGTGACTTATAACTGCCACTTTGATTCCATCCACAGTGCGGTATATAATAGTTCTGGTATGTTTAAAAGGTATTTTGTTAAGGATTCTGCATTCTAGTAAAGGGGAAAAGATAGCAAAGAACAAAGGAAAATAATTTTACTAGTAAAATAACTACTACTTTTGTCTAATCCCTGCAGTCTTCTTAGCAAGATTTCAGAAGTGATTTGCCCTTGCCTCCTTCCTAGTACTCAGAGAGGGTGACAAAGTCACCAAGCTGGTTTTGTGTCTAAAGCTGAACTAGACTCATGGTATCCCTGTTTCCAGCCTGATGTAAAATAATTATTAAATAGTTATTTACTGTATGTGGCTATGGTTTTTATTAAAGAAACTGTTAGTAGTTATGATGGGATATTATTTCCTCGGGGGAAAAACAAGTTGCAGTCATGTTGTGTTCTCTTCTTGGCCTTTCAGAATTAAGGCAACAGCACCTGAAAGCCCTTTCAAACACAATTGTCTAAAAAAAGTATATGGTGTCTTACCAAACGTGTCTCTCGGCCTGAAAGAATTTGCTTATCTCTACTTTATCATAGTTAGTACTAGCATATCATTCCTCAAGTAGCGGGTCTCAAGGGATATACTGTGAGGGGTTATCCTTGTAATACATTGTATCTTGTTTAGGACATCTTGAAATCTTAACTGATCAATCAAATGATGGGTATGCAAACGGAACCAAAATGAAATGACCAAAATTAAATCTAAATAGCACTTAGTACGAACCAAACTTAGTTGGAGGGTTGCATATTACTTCATAATAAGCAAGATCATAAAGGTGATTTTCTATAGAGTTTACATTTTATATGAAGTGAGGTTTATTTATTACATCCACGATAAAATTAGTGGCTTAAATTGTGGTATTGAGTCAGCCAATCCAAGGCACTTAAAAACACAAGGGTTATTTCTTTAGAGGCAGTATAACTGTAGCAAAAATCCTTTTCCTGTTACAGAACACCTTTTATATTTGGAGTCCTGGAGAACTGCTAATCTTTTGCTTCCTGTATGTTCCGAATATTTGTGATTTGTATTTAGAAAGCAAACTGGTGTGCGTGTATATTAATTTTACACGATACTTTTTTAAGGCAGTGAACACTGTCCCTAGGAACATGGTGCTGAATTCATTATGAAGTGCTTGTTCATCCTCCCATTGTCAGTTTGCTGCCCAAACCTATTGCCTCCTCATCCTGTGTGTATGAAACAGAGACTTCTATGGATATGTAGCACTTGAGAAAACATCTTGGCTATGATGAGATCCTACTCTCTGTCCATCAAACCACAAATTGGAGAGACAGCTTATGAAGAAAATTCCCTTCACCCTGCGCCCTTTGCTTTCTGTTTTGGACTCTCAGCTGCTCTCTCTTTATACCTCTCGCACAATCCTACTGGATATAGATACTCAAATCAATATTTGCCTGGGGGAGATAATTATAAAACATTTTGTGGAAGAAGCTGAATATAAGCAAAAGGAGGCAGAGTATTTTTCTCCGCTGAGTCTGATGAGGGGAGAGCCAAAGCTGCCACTTCAAACATTCTCTTTCAAGAATTCCTGGGGGGGGGGGTAGTGCCTCCAGGAATGTCATTGGACTCCTAAAAAAAAATACCCCTTGGAGAATGAGCGAGTAGGTAGGTAAATAATAAATAAATAATACAACTCAACCAATTGGTATTAATCTTGAGTAGACTCCATGAAAAGATCTAAGGTTTTATTTTGGCCTGCAAAAATCTGGCTTTCAGATTCTGAAATACCCCCATCAGATGAATGTGTGGTGAAGATGACAGAACTAGAAGCAGTGGCTAAATTAACTTGATTAGAGAAAGATCAATAACTACATTTATCAGTGACTTGATATCCTTATGGACTTTTTGCTGAAAAAAAGGCTTTGAAGATTAGAAGAAAAAGTATCTTATGGAAAGAAGGAAATTATGGTGTAAGAGAGGGTAAAATACATCCTCTAAACCACTGATCCTCAAACTTTGGCCCACAGGCCAGATACAGCCCAGCAATGCAAAGTATCTGGCCCACGGAGTGGTGGGATTCAGCCCCTCCCCTCACTGTCGGCCTTATCTTCCAGCGAGCATCCACTCCAGCTGCACTTCTGGTTAGTTATTTCACCGGTTGAGCTGCACTTCTGATCACACTGCTGCTGCTGAAGGTAAGGCTGAAGAGTACGGGGGGAGGGCCAGCTGACTGAGAGGTGATCTCGCCAGTGCAACCATGTGATCCAGGGTTGGGGGGTGAGTAGGGGAGGGGCTGCTGCTGGTTTGAAAAGCAGCTCTGCTGCCAGCTTGTGAAGTAGTGCTTTAAAAATCTTTAAAAATGCTTTTAAAACAGCCTTTCAGGATGTTTTTCACAGCCATATTATCCAGGACCAGTGGGTGAGTAGGGGAGGGGCAAGTGCAGCAAAGACAAAGGCAAAATGGACTGCTAAATTGGCCATGCCCGCAGTCACACACCCGAGGCAGTCCGGCCCAACAGTCTGAGAGACCATGAATTGGCCCCATTTATAAAGTTTGAGCACCCCTGCTCTAAAATATATTTGCATTTATAACTTCTATCAAAAGATAAACTGCTTCTTTATAATCTTTTATTTTTTATTTCTTATTTATTCACTATTTTTCCTTATTTTCTGTGTTTCTTTTCTAATAGTTGTTTTTATCTGATAAAAAAAATTATTCGGTAAAATTTATATTTAAAAAAGTCTGGCTTTCCAAGAGGATTACCGGTTCTATGAAAGGGAAGACAATCTTTGAGCACTATATATCCAGCCTGAAAGACCAATTTGCATAAGCAACAGAGGTTTATTGCTAATGGCGCATTCAAATATTTAGTAAACAAACGAAGAAACAAAGACTTTTAAACATGGTAATTTAGCTAACTTGATGGAACTGGGCTTGCATCATAGCTGTTTGGTATTTTATTAAAAAGCAATAGATACATGGTATAAATAAACAATTAAAAGATGTTCAAGCAACTGAAAGGAAGGAAGCATGCTAATTTTTCCTAGGTGAAATAGGGACTGCAGTGGCTGGAAATAGCAACACAAACTTGCCTATTCTCTTTGTTCTGTAGCTATTATTCTTATCTACCTCACATGCAATCCCACAAGAATTGGGACCATAGTCTCTACTACTTTTCTTTCATTCATCCTTTATTTTCTGTCTTTATCTTCTTCTTGCAAAGAACATTAACTTTTTGAAAAACTTGAAATTGGAAAGAAAATAAATTTATGAAAGGTAATCCATTTGTTTTTGCAGCTTGTGAAAGAGCTTAGATAACTGTCTGGGAATGGGTGAGTTTTTACAAGAAAGAAGAAGAAGGGAGAGTTAAAATTGCACTGAAAAAAGATAAGCCTAGCTATCAGGGCCTATTCTTATTACAACACCTGGCTGTTCTTGGTGAAGGATTTTTTTTTAACTAAAACAAAAAAAAACCCTCACTATCCACAATATACTTGGACCTTGGGCAAAGGTACAAACTTCTTTATGAAACTTGATCATTTTTTTTAAACGTTTACACAAGGATATGGGGCAGTATGGCATCTTGCCTGTCTCTATTGGTCTGGGATTTAGCCAACACATTTACAAACCAGAATTCTTTAAGACTAGAATGGTTGGATCACAACATGCAGAGAAGCTTGACTGCAGCAGTTTTATTGCTGACAAACCTTTAGGAAACCAAGTTTGGCATTGAATCTTTGTGCAAGGTATCACCTTTTAGAAAATAATTTCACTAATATGATCCCCACTATTTGCCTATACTGGGTGTAGCAGTACAGCATGCTTTGTCCTTCAACAGGTACACCCTCCTGGCTCAAAATAACATATTGTTCCAGCATCATTCCAAGGAGGGGGAAAGATAAGACTCACTGGCTATTTACGCTTATCTAAACAGAAGTCCTTTCTGCAATGGACAAAGGTATAATTTATAATCTTTGTAAACAATCCCTTAAAGCATCCTTTTAATTTGGCACAGAACTTCAAAGTTCTTCTGAAGGCAGAATCAAAATATGCCCTGATGTGATAGCTTGTTTAATCTCCTAACAATCATTCTGTGGAATTATCTTAGCCTTCCCTATCCTAAGGGGTGCGATGGCTCAGTGGTTAAAGAGGCCGAGCTTGTCAACTGGAAAGCGGACAGTCCAGGTTCAAGACCTAAGCGCCACACAATGAGGTGAG